AAGCCAAAAAAAAAAACAGCTATCATAAGTGGCGAATAATCATGCTAAAAAAATGCTTAACAGGTTTGAAACCACCATTGAAGCTTGAAATCCCTGATCGAGATTCCGATCTCGCCGATGACTGCGACGACAGACGTGACACGGGGCTCGGTGTCTGACAGATAAGGCGCCACGCAAAAACCACCAACGATCATGTTTTGGCGCCTGACTGCAGACGCCTTATCTGATACCATGTCCGAGCACAACGAGAGTTCAGAACACTCAAGTCGATCGCTATCAGGAAGGGTGAGGGGGCGGAGGGGAGGGGAGGGGAGGGGAGGGGAGGGGGGCGGAGGGGAGGGGGAGGGGAGGGAGCTGATTACTTCTTGATTGGTATGAGGCATAGGGTGTAATCTGCCGTGGTCCAAGGTCCTCTCAGAATGACATCCCTGTCACCTACTCTCACAACGCAGTAGCATTTCAATACGGTCAATCGGGAGCCCTACCGAATGGATCGCGATCGAAAAAGGGGAGAGGGGGGGAGGAAGGGGGGTGGTAAGTGGGGGAGGGGGAGTCCCCGGCACTCGTTTTTCGGACGTTCTCGACTGACCTAAGTTAGCTTGATGATTTCCTTGGGATTTAAAGTATTTTGTCGAACGACTGGGGGCTCATCTCGTTCGAGACGGCATTAGTTGTAACGCAGCGTCAGCGGTTATAAATGCGTCAGAGGAGCAAATAAGCGGGGAAAATCCCGTTGCCCCTGTGTCGTGCCGCGATCACAGGCAGGCTTTTCGCGTCGTTGTTTCCTCGTAAATGCGATTCCTCGAACGAGGCAACTATGCGAATATTCCCTGGTACATCCACGTCCCATTAAAGGACCCAAAGTACATTCAAGTCTACCAAGACGTGAAAATACATGGCGAGCTCCCGTTAATGATGAAACCGCGGTGCAAACGCATGGTAACCGTGATGTAACCGCCACAGCGAATGACATACTTCGGTCCTTGTCAAAAGTGATCATGCCATCATTTCGATCTGGAAACTTCACATTCGTCGGAACCCATTCGCAGCTGGTGCTGACATCTCGCGGGGAAATCATCTCGGCGGGAAATTTCCACGGAGAGTACCCGGCCAAGGCGATGGATTATCTCGCGATCGGGATCCACGAGTTGGGGAGCATGAGCGAGAGACGCATCGAACGGCTCGTCAATCCCGGTAAAATAAAATAAAATAAGAAATAATAAAATTCACGAAATATTTTTGAAGACAAAACGGTTTTCGGTTTCCAGCGTTGAGCGAGTTGCCGGCGTTCCTGACCAAGAACGGGGGACTCAACTCGGGATTCATGATAGCCCATTGCACTGCAGCCGCCCTGGGTGATTATCGATATACATAAAAAATATATATAAAAAAGCTTGGAAAAATAATTATATATATATATTTTTTAATGTTTCAGTATCGGAGAACAAGACATTGTGTCACCCGGCGAGCGTGGATTCCCTCTCGACGAGTGCGGCCCAGGAAGATCACGTTTCCATGGGTGGATTCGCGGCCAGGAAAGCCCTTCAGGTCATTGTTTTATTTTTACTAATTAATTTTACTAAACGTGGAGTTATATGTAATGTATCAATCGGGGCGAAGAGGGTGAAATTAATGTATTATTCTCATGCAGATCAGTCGGGTGACTTATCATTTTATTTTATTATTCTTATTTTATTTATCGACCGACCGATGTTATGAAACGATATCACGGCATTTTCGTCGCTTTTTTTTTCCTTAAAAAATTCTCTGACCAAAAAAAACAATAAACATACTTGCTTAACTTATTTTAAACTTAGTTTATAGTTATTACTCATTAGAATTATTTAAACTGCTCTCACGAAATACTTAATTGCAGGTGGTGGGAAACGTGGAGAAGGTGATAGCGATAGAACTGCTCTGCGCGTGCCAGGCGATGGAATTCCTTCGCCCGCTTCGGACTACGACCCCGTTGGAAGAAGTTTATCGGGTCGTCCGGAAAGTCGTCAGGTCGGGATTGGGGGTCTGGAATTCATTTTATTTTGTGTGGTATTGTGGTGATTTTTTTTTTTGTTTTTTGTTTTTTTAACAGGCCGTGGGATGAGGATCGGTATATGTCGCCGGATATCGAGGCGGTGATCAAGGTCCTTCAGACGGAAAAGGTCTGGCATGCCGTCAAGAAACACATCGACTACTTCCAATCCGCCGAGGTCTGATTTTTTTTTAAATTTTAGTCTAATTCGAATAAAATTATTTCCGTATTCTTGTTTCGACAGTAACCGACTGATTTCCTGCGGGTTTAATTTTTTTTTGTGGAGGGACAAACATTGACATGGAGGGTTTTGTTCATGTCTGTCAGCGTCACCGTGTGCCTTCTGGATCATCTCTAGCCTAATCTCTAGCCTCTGATAAACTAATCCCGCATCTTTCAATGTTGTTTGAGACGATTTCTCGTTTCAGACGATCGAGATGCGCGTGTTCAGCCCCACGGCCAGCGGGATCTTGGAGAGGCCGCGGCCGGGCGAAGGCGGCGGACGGAAGCGGTCCCGGTCGAGGCCGCCTTCGGAGTCCGAGGCGGAAGCGGTGAAGAAGCCTCCTCTCGCGAGGCGGCCTTCGGAGCCGGAAATCCTGAAGAAGGTCGCGTTCGTCCGGCGCGCGGAGGCCGACCCGAAGAAGCCCACGTTGGCCCGACGACCCTCGGAGGCCGAAATCGTGAAGAAACCTCCGTTGACCCGGCGTCCTTCGGAGACCGACTTGAAACGACCCCGCAAAAAATGAATTTCCCGTCCGCCGAAGACCGACTCGACCGCGGCAAGTCTTCGACGTCCGATTCTGACGCAAGACGTCCGATGACCCTCGGAATCCCGTTTGTATAGCCCTAATGAGACTCACTGCTTCTTTGTTTTTATTCATCCGAGATAATTAAAAAAAAGCTTATTCATGCCCGAAACGACCATGACTCTCTCTTTCTTTCGGTTTTTCGTTCGGTCCCGTCACTTCGTGGAGAAGAGGGAAATTCTCCAGATGCTTGATTACTTTCTGAGGGCAATTGCGATGCTCGAAAATGCCGAAATGCTAGAACCTCCTTAGGATAAGTTTGGGAAAAAAAAGGTCAACAAAGGTTAAAAAAAAAAGGACTAATAAACCAAAGAAATAGAATTCCACCGGGCGAGACGTACTTCAAATATTTCTCAGAGTCGATTTTCTTATCGAAGGCCACCCTCGTTACAGAGGCAATAAAGAGGAAACGGCCCTGGCGACAAGGAATATCTCGACTATAAAAGTTGCATAAATTTTATGTGGCAGCGGAGACTATTAAACTCGATAAAATGCAAGATAAGACGTTCTAGAATGAACCCTTGAAACGAATGACAAAACTGGATTTAAAATTAAATGAGAACATGTAAATATGGAATATAATACTGACGTAAGAAATAAATTCGCAAAATAAAAACTTAAAGTTTGGAAACAAAAGATGTGGAATGCAAGGCGAAAAGGGACGGAGCAAGCAAACAGAGGGAGAAGAAAGCGACACATCCTGGCTCCCGTCCAGAGGTCCTCATTCTCCTGGAAGTCCCGTCATCAAGTCCCATAAAGCATCCCGCACGACATGTCATCATCGACGACATTGCACAATCCGAGATAGGGCCTTCAACCTCGGCCACACGACGCAGGGCTCACACACAGAGGCGCCATCACGACATGAAGGAAGCAGGAGGATCCCTGCCTCCCTTCGCTCCATGCGTCCCAACCCGCTGCTCCCGATTCTCATCGTGTTCGTGTTCGTCGCCTGGATGGCCTGGTGGAGGTCATCCGAGGTCGATCTGGGCGTGGAGATGCTCCGAGCCCTGAAGCAGGAACTGGTGGAGGCAGTCAGGAAGGAAGCGCGGAGGGACAGGACCTGGCCGGTCGAGGAGGACCGACTTCCCTCCCTCTACGTGATCACCCCCACTTACCCCCGGCCGACCCAGGTCCCCGAACTCGTTCGACTCGGTCAGACGCTCGGCCACGTTCCGGAAGTCTTCTGGATCGTCGTCGAGGACGCCTACGTTAAGACTCCAAAGGTTGTGCAGTTCCTCGCGACCGTCTCGATTCCACACGCGCATCTATTAGGTGAGTTCATTCGTAGAAACTCTTGGTTTTATTTATTTATTTATATTAATTTAATTACTTTTAGCTAGCCTTCCACAGTGGGAATGACGCCCCTCATAAAATCGCTCGCGTGTCATCGCGAAGCTTTCGTGAGCGAGTGCGGAAGCATTACGACTTCAAGCTATAATCATTTTTTTCAAGTCATAACTCACAACTCACTTCTGCTCGCGAAACCATTAATCCTATTTTAAAAAGACTCGTGACAAAACACACTCGAAAAGGGGGATATGATCGATCGTCTTTCATGCGCCCTAACCGCTGTCCCCAGCATTGATTTATTTTCAGAGCCAAATGCGAAAGCAATTGCGACACGAAAATTCAAATGCGTCCGCCGTACCGCGTGACGGCGAAATGCGACGCAAGAAAAATCAATTCTATCGGCCATCTCTTTCTGCTTCTCACTTTTGAAGCTATTCCTGATTTTGAACAGTTTGGATGGCGTTGGTTCCAAAAGTGAAAAATACCAGGAGTCTTCAACGGAAGCCGATGATGCATCGGCTTCCGTTGAAGACTCGATCGTGTCGCGAGCCTCTCGAATACGCGAAGCGAAACGGCACTACAACGCCCAAAGGATCGCCAAGTCTCCGTCGAGAATAAAAATCACCTCATCCGATCGGATGAAAACGACAATGAGTCCAGAGGCACCAAGGTCAGAAGGGCATCAAGGTCAGAAGGGCACCAAGGTCAGAGGGGCTATTTAACGGCTGGCTCGACGCAATTCGAGGACACCGCGAGCCACCTGGAAACCGCGCGGCTACGAATAGCCACATGAAATGAAGTTGAAATGAAGTCGAAAGGAATGGCTTCGCTTGGATCCGAGACATGAAAAGAAGTCCCCATTATCTCTCATTCCGCACTTTCCGAGTGGAATTTTATTCCATTCCCACCCGTTCCTAACGGATTGAAATGCCACCCAATTTCCAAATTTGGCCGGACGCCAAAAAAGGTTGAGATTAAGTATTATTAAGTATTAGATTAGATTATTAAGTATTAGATTAGAGATAATTAGATTAGTGGAGTCGCCTTTCGAGTGCCTGGTCTGATCCTTTCATTAACCTAATCATTTCATTAATCTAATCCTTTTCTGGAGAATCCGGCGACGAGAATTGCGATGCATTTCATCGCACCTGGCTTTTTTTAAACGCATATTTGACTTGAAAAAAAAAGGTACTTTTCCGTATTTTGTGCTCACGAACTGCAGTACTTGGTACGTCAAAACTCATTTAAATTCATGATTTGTCATAAACGTGATAAACATCTCATCCATTCGTTTTTGAAACTGGGAGACATAAACGAATGGAATCGTCACTGCCTCGACGAAGATCGTCTCGTACACGAGCGTTGGCAACCGGAAGGAGAAAGCGAAGTACTGAGTACTGCGGCGCTGGGTACCGTGTGGCGCTGCGAGCACGGCAGGATGCGGCTTTCCGAATCAGGGGCAGATAAAAGCGTTATCGACTATATTGTATTTGACTTGGAGCAAGGAACGATGTCACTTGGATTTTATTTGTTGGCCGACTGGATCGACATAAGCTGACACCGTAAATCCCGCTTTTTTTTTTTCTCGGGAGAGACTGGGGTGACCGTCGAAAGCCTTTCGCTTACGTAGACCCCGGATCGGGGGTCTATGTCGGCGATCGAGGGTCTATGTCGGAGGGGGGTGGGGGATTTACGGGATAGACTTGCTGTTTTTTGTTGCAAGCATTACGTTTGGGAGATCGGCGATATGGATGTAAATAATAAAAAAATAAGTAAAAAAATAATAATAATAAAATATATATATATAGTGAAAAGGAAATACCAATGGTACTTGTCCCACCCAAACCAATCTAGGCGATGGAGGAATGAACCCCGCTACTAGTAAAAATTCCTTAAATAAGAAGCCTTAAATACGTGAATATTATTATTATTATTATTATTATTATTATTCAACACATGGTGTGATATGTGGAATGTACCGGTTACCCTCTTTCATCCTGACCACACCCTCCCCGCGGGGCTTTAGTGTGGCCCTTCATAGTACAGTATAAACATGGGGACTCAAGATCATGCTCAAGCCAGTAGTAATTGAAGGATTTGACCCATAGCCCCATTCTAAGCTGCCTAATACTAGGCCATGGCCTAGGCAATTTTTGAACTGGCT